TTTTTTTTTCCCATGCTAATCTTCTCTGTATCGTTCCAATTTTAATGGATGTCCCGAAGGACGGGCTTAGGGTTTAGGGTATTGGGTTCTGGTTTTAGGGTTTTGGTTTTAGGGTTTAGGATTTGGAGTCGTGCATGACAACTCGTGGGACATCGAGCGCCGTCCAAGTGACCTCTCAACAGGTGAAACAGAGAAGTGACCAATTTTTACACGTGCGCCAATCGCGAACTCGCTGACGATTGATTGACTGGTTGATTGGTTGGTTTTGATTGGCTGATTGCTTGTTTTGGCTAATTGATTGATTGATTGTTTTTTTGTTTGATTGGTTGTCGCTGTTTAATTTGTGTCCCACAGTGAGACCCAGATCAATCATCTGTTCATGAAGATCGATGCAAATAGTGATGGCACTGTCGACTGGGATGAATTCACAAATCACATCCTCCTACAACAGGTACTAAACACACACACACACACACACACACACAAAAAAAAAAAAAAAAAAAAAAAAAAAAAAAAAAAAAAGAAACAGACAAATAAACAAAAAAAAACAGGTAAAAAAATGGCTCCCTCAGTGTTTTGAGACTTCAAAAGTTTGAATTTGAAAGTTGAAACCAGAAGGAAATTTAGAACTCAACTCTCATTAAATATAAAAAAGGCCTCCTTAAACCCCCCACTGCCCGCAGTACACCCAAATTGAATCCTAGACCACTTAGCAAGATGGATGAACTTTCTGAAGGATGACATTGTCAACAAGGACAACTCAGCTCAGTTTTGTGAAACTTAGCCATTTTGTACCAACAGCTGGCAACAAGCTTACCGTCTTCACCTGAATAGAATGCTCTGTCATTATATATACTAGCCGTATTTGGTGCAACTGTCAGTCTTGATACAGCGATGATGAACGGGCGTTCAATTCGGGTGAAGAGGGTATTAGCTCAGTGTGTAAGCCCATGAACTGTTGAAATATGAATCAGATCCAAACTGGATTCCAGTCTCCAGATATACGATCAGATGAACAGAAGAAAATGACTGCGAAATACCCGGAGCCGGTCAGTTTTCAATGATGATAAGATATCATAATGGTAGTGTATTACTGATCAACGTGCTTTAGGGCATCAGGCCCCGCCGTGCGGCGTGCATGCACGGCCTTGAACCGGCACCCTCAGCCACAGGAACGAAGTCTCGTATCCGCTACAACACTTGGAGGTGTCGTAAAAAGTGGATCATCCATACTGGTCTTGATATCCAGCCCACCCCCAGGGCTGTAGCACCCTTGAACCCACACCACACACAACGCACACCGCACCTCGGACACGGCAATCAAAAGCACACTCTAGGCCGTTTCCCGTTTTTTCTCAAAAAAAAAAAAAAGAAGAAGAAGAAAAAGAAAAAACATTATGATGATGGGAGTCTTTGAGAGTCGATGCATCGTGTTGATGAGTTGTCACTCATCCTGGAGTCAGTTACAAACATACGATATTGGGCCTCGCTCCGCCACACAACAGTCTACATGCATTTGGACATTTTCCGGACCAGGTGCATTTGGACAGGCCTACAGTTTGAATGTATGGGGTCCAAAAAGCGTCCAAATGCATGTGGAGTGCTGTGTGGTAGAGCGAGGCCCACCATCTCCCCTTGAGAGGCAATTACAAAATGTTGTTCTTCGGCATTTCGCCTTTCCCGATTTATGCGTGTCATCCTTGTGCATGGGCCATGCTATCCTTTTTTTTTTTTTTTTTTTTTTCCCCCAGATATTAAACTGATTAGAACAGATATATCGTTCCAATTTTAACGGATGTGCCGAAGGACGGCATTTTGACTTTTAGCTTGTTTGGAGGAAGCATCAAAGTTGCAAAACTGCCACTCCGAAAATTAGAGGTAACAAAAACGGCCCTTGTTAGGACGTACTTGAGCGGATTACAGGACCAGTGCATGAAATGTACAGTCATTGTTCACATGTCCAGGTACAGATTAAGTAGTGGTGGTGGGTTGCGTGTTGTCCGAACGGAGTGTGCGTGGATTGCCGAGTCCGTGGGGTGGTGTGTGTGTGTGTTGTGTGCGTTCAAGGACGCTACAGCCCTGGAGGTGGGCTGGATATCATGGCCGGTATGAATCCAATCCAGTTTTTATAACACCTCCAACGGTTGTAGTGGTTACGATACTTCGTTCTTCTGGAAGAGGGTGGCGGTTCGAGCCTCAGGCTGTCCGTGTACGGCAGGGCATGATGCCCCCTAGACACACGTTGCTCAGTAACCAGGTACATTCTGACGCGGGCTCGGGTACTGTTTCACAGCTCGGCAGCTATGGTTGCGGCCTTCCACAACCTCCCTGGCAGTCAAGCCTCAATTACCCCTTCAGTCCATCTCTTTTGTCACCCCCTACTTCTCTTCATTTCCTCCTTTACTCTGGCTGTTGCTAAAAAAAAACAAAAACAAAACAAGAAAAGAAAAACTCTGGCTGTTGCTGCTGGGCCCCATGACTGGCACCCATGCCTAGCATCCATCCGGGAGACCCACGGCTGTGGCTGGCCCCCATGGCTTTGAACGACCATTTCGTCAAAATGGACATTTTTTATTTTTTGAACGAAATTGAAACCGAGTTTGTTGGCCCAAAACTCGTCAAAATTTGTTGTTCCTGAGGGTCAAACACTGGACCCCCTGGCTGTACATGGACCTAGCTTGAGACCAGGCACCTCCAGGCAGGACTGCCTGGAGGTACCTGGTCTCAAGCTAGATCCATGTACAGTCAGGGGGTCCAGCGTTTTACAAACGCCGGACCCTCAGGAACAACAAATTTTGACAAGTTCTGGGCCAAAAAACTCGGTTTCATTTTCGTTCAAAAAATAAAAGATGTCCATTTTGACGAAATGGCAGTTTTTGGGCCTGTGGCGGATGACCATACCTGATCCCCATGGCTGGCCTCCATAGCTGGCACCCATAGCTGTGACTGGCACCCATGGATGCCAGAGCTGGCGGCCATAGCTTCTTTGCCTCCAGAGCTCACACCCATGGCCGGTACTCATGGCTGTTGTGCGTAACAATAGCTAGTACCTTCTTCACCAGAATACAATTTATGGTCATTAGCGCTGTATTCAGACGGAAAGATACCCCAAATTATTTAGCTACGATGACCGTACATTGTATTCGGGTGAAGAAGGTGGCTCCCATGGCTGGGCACCATGGGTGCCGTCCATGGCTGCAGTTGGTGCCCATGGGTATGGCTGGCACCCATGGCTGAGGCACATGGCTGGGGCTGGTGGTACCAATGCCTCGCGTGAGGCTTGGTACCGATGGCTGGAGTAACTGACGGCATACTCACACTGGCACTGTCTTAAATGCATGTGACCACATTTCAGGCCAGCATGGATGTACCTGACCACAGTAATGTCCAGCAACGAGGGCTCGCACCCATGAGGGTCACTACTCAAGGCTGCGGCGGGCAGCCATGGCTGGGCACCATGGGTGCCGTCCATGGCTGCAGTTGGTGCCCATGGGTGTGGCTGGCACCCATGGCTGGGACACATGACTTGGGCAGCGGGGCTTGTGGTACACTTGGCGGGTGCCAGGCTTTGTACCGACAGCTGGAGTCCATGACCACGTACTCACACTAGGACTATCTTATTACATGTATCTGACCGCATTTAAGGGAAGCGAGGATGTATCTGACCGCAATAATGTCCAGATTGTATTTATCCCCATTATCCCCGATAGTCGGAATCGTAATTAGTACGAGTAAGCTTCACACCTCACGGTGCTTTTACTTCTCGCCTATTCAAGTGATGGTCTTTCACTTTGTATGATAACTTTTTTCAAGAGGGGTTTCCYGCTTATATGCTTTCAGCGGTTCTCCCATACCAACGTAGCTACCCGGCAATGCCACTGGCATGACAACCGGTCCACCATAAGTAAAGAGAAAACTACGGTGCAGTCACTGTTTGAGTTTGAAAATGCACTTGTTGAGGCAAAAGGGCCAGTAAATTACGGTGAATGTATACAACCTAGGTTTCAGGTCTGGTGTGGTCACCTGGGGTTGTGTTGTGTTCGTGGGATTGCCTGAAGTTCATTTTCAAACTGTTTTCATGACTGCGCACAAGTTACCTTACAAGTAAAGAATCCCTAGTGTGAGTATGCCCTTAGGCCTCAGGCATGCGTACCTGAGGCCCACCAGCCTCACACTCAACGTAGCGTATGAGGCCCACTGGGAGAATCCAGTAAGGCATATGGCCTCAGGCCACGTAGTATTGGAGGTGAACAGACGGGCTCGTTGGACTCACGGTACTAGGTTCACGAGACCACAACCCAAGCTACCACCAGCCTCACACTCAGCGTACCGTATGAGGCCCGCTGGGAGAATCCAGTACAAAACCTACTACTGTGAGTCCACCGAGCCCGCCTCTTCACCTCCAATACTACTTGGAACGCAACCAAGAAACCAAAGACCCCAGTTACATGTTACACAAAGACCAAAAGCTCTCACCACCCAGACAGCTATCTTTTTTTTGGGGGGGGGGATGCCGGGACTGGTTCCAGACAGCTATCTTACCACAGCCCCACAACCGGGTTCGTAATTTCAATAATTTGTGGATTGAACTGTATTTAAGGAGTGAGGACCTTTTAGTTATTTATATCTTTAAATATTATTCAACTAAATATGTAACTACGAACTAAGTTAAACCAACTAATTTATTTATCTATGTGCTTGGCAGTGCTTGTTCTTTTTTCTTTTTTTTTTTTTGCCGTTTTGAATCTTTTGATGCTTTCGGGTTGCAAAGGAATCAGCTTAGCAGCCCCCCACGCCCCAACACCCCCCCCCAAAAAAGAAGAAAAGGAAAAAAAAGAAAAGGAGAAGAAGAAGAAAATAAAAGAAAATAAAAGAAAATAAAAGAAATGACGATAACGGTGTTTGTGAAATCTATCGTGCCACCTAATCATCAAGGACCATCACGCACTCATTATCATATGTTTTTGTATTAATGACCTTTAAATTTATGTTTATACTTTAATTGTCTTTCTTCAGCTAATGATTTCATTAATCAATTTATTACTCAATTAATTAAGGGGAAACTACGCGTCGGGAGTCACAAAAATGAGTTATAATTGCACTATGGGACAAGATACAGTTTTGAATTGCAGTTTGGCCAATGTATACAACCCAGTTTTCTGGCCAGGTAGGGTGCCAAGAGTGCAATTGCAAACTATATCTTGCCCAATAGTGCAATTATAACTCGTTTTAGTGACTCTAATGAAGTTATCGCATTAATTAATTAATCAATTAATTAATGTGCTTGTACATTTGGTCTTTATTTGTTTTGACGCTTGCAGATTGCAAAGGATGAGCTCAGCGGTGCAACAGTGTCAATGTTTGTGAAATATACAGGAGTTGATCCTTTGGCTGTTGTGGGCACCGATGTCTCCGCTAGCGAATATCATGCCACCCAAGATGATGCGATATTGGAAAGAGAAGACGAGGTGACAAGTTCACATGGAGGCGGGGATGAGTACCCGTATGGATCGTTCCAGCGGCGCCAAGGATTCAGCTACGACGAAAAGAAAAATCTTCTGGGAAGGGTTAGTGAGGACATCACGTCGTTGCTTTTGTTTGGTTTCTTTCTTTGTCAATAGTTTGATTTTGATTCTGGTTTTGGTTTTGATTTTAATTTTGATTTTGATTTTGATTTTAATTTTGACTTTGATTTTGATTTTGATTTTGATTTTGATTGGAAAAGGAAGATGAGGTGTTAAGTTCACACAGACTCACAAAGGTGTCGCAAATGATTTATCTACTATGAAAAGAAAAATATCATGGGAAGGGTTAGTGAGGATATTATGCCAATGTTTTTGTTTCATTTTTGTTTGGTTTCTGTTTGGTTTCTGCTTTGTTTACAGTGTAATGTTGGTTTTGATTTTGATTTTTGATTTGATTATTTTTTTGATTTTTGATTTTTATTTTGATTTGGATTTGGATTTGCATTTTGTTTTGATTTTTGTTTTGATTTTGATTGGGAAGAGAAGATGAGGGGACAAGTTCACGCAAAAAAAAAAAAAAAATCTTATAGGAAGGGTTAGTAAGGAGCACTGAGGACACTAACACTATTATTTTTATGACATTTTTGCTTCATTTCCATTTGGTTTTTGCTTTGTTTATGGTTTAGGGTTTCGTTCTAATTTTGATTATTTCACCATTGTTTCCTTCAATTTTATTACACCATTGTTTATATTATTTCGCTCCGTTTTATTTCATTTCATTTCATTTCATTTTATTTCATTTCATTTCTTTGTTTTATTTCGTTTCGTTTCAGTTTCGTTTTGTTTTCGTTTTGTTTCGTTTTCGTTTTGTTTCGTTTCGTTTTGTTTCGTTTCGTTTTATTTCGTTTGTTTCGTTTCATTTCGTTTCATTTCGTTTCATTTTGTCTCGTTTCGTCTCGTCTCGTCTCGTCTTGTCTCGTCTCGTCTTGTCTCGTCTCGTCTTGTCTCGTCTCGTCTCGTCTCATTGCGTCTCGTCTCGTCTCGTTTCATTTCATTTCGTTCGCTTTGTTTCTTTTCTTTTTCCTTTTCGTTTCGTTTTGTTTCGTTTTGTTTCATATTTAGGGTTTATGGTCTGCTTCTTTATGTTTTTTTTKTTTTTTTTTTTTACCATTTCTTGATTTATGCGTCTCATCAGTTAATCTTGGAGTGATACAGAGATGCTAAGCATGTCCTTCGGATTGTCTGCTAAAATTGGAACGATACAGAGAAGATTAGCATAGCCCCTGTGCAAGGATTTCATTTCATTTTGTAACCTTGTATTAGGGGATGTTCACACTACAACATTTAACCTGAATCTAACCATTATTGAAGTCACATACATTCAGAAAGGTACTCGTTTGAGCATGCTCTTAAGCATTTATTCTTGGTGTGCGTGTGCAATGATACGCGGCATTTCCCTCTCTGAACCCTTTGTTTGCTAAACCTGGCAGTTGTCCCTTCCTTTTTTTTTTTTTTTTTTTTGAACAAATGCTCCAGTCTATTCGTGGGCAAGCAGCACATGCTGGGAACCGGGCCCAGCGGCAGCTGTCCCAATCCTATTCCGCCTAATATCGGATATCTCACAGTCCGCGACACCACTCATCTTTTATATGAACGAACCAGAGGTTGCTACCAACCTTGGCCTTCCAAGCCTCTGAATGAGATTTGGGCCTAGAGGGGGGTCACAACAGGGAGGGCCAACTACATGCCTTCGGTGTACTTTGTGACGATATATATATATTATATATGTTTTGTTCTTTCGCCATTGTAATTTTTTTTTTTTTACAACTTTTTGGTAAGGTTCTCAGTTTTCCGGACGCTGCACCACCTACCGTACATCCATGAACCTTTTTCTTTTTTTTTTCCTAACAAAAAGGGGAGCTTCCTCTTAGAAAGTTGGGACCGGGCCTAGCATCCCTTACATGATAAATTGATCAAGATGGAGATGGGAACTGGAAATCGCCAAAGTGGGGACCCTCGAAACATTTTGAACGTATCTAACCAGAATTCCAACCACAATTCATTGCGAAAGTCATCATGTGAATATGCGCCCCTCTCCCCCTTCCCCTGCTTCTCCTCTAAGATTTGATCATCAAACCACCAGTACTTCCGAAGAACTTTCGCCCGGGGCTCCAAACGCCCTGTGCGCCAAAAAAAAAAAAACACGGCGTGGACCTCGTGTGGCTGGCGCCGCTAGCCATTTCATTCCGGCTGCCGACCCCCAAAAGTTGCAGCAGCGTGCAAGCTGCAGCGTCAAAAAAAGTTGTCCGGAAACGTACTGGTGGTTTAATATGCCCTCTTTCTCCTCTAAGACTCTTTTTTTTTTTTTAAGAGTTGTTAAAAACCTGGTAGACTGCGGCATCAGCCTGAACGAGCAGCACTGCAGCGTAAATGCAAAATTTCAGGAGAAAAAAAAGAATTAAAGAAGGGCAAATATGATTTGCCCCCAGCCTGTGGCAATTCCGCCCAATAAATGAGTTGGTGGCTGGGTGGTGGGTGCAGGGTGGCTGTGGCAATTCCAACCTCTACAACAACCTGGACGTTAATAAGGGGAAAATAAAAAAAAGAAGAAAAAAAAGAAAGGGTGTATGTGAGCGGCCCTGCCACCCTGGAGAGATCGATGGTGAGGTCCGCCACAAGTTTGATTTCTTGAGTGAAATTCATATGACATTGTGCCGACATCCATATAATTCGTCCCAAAACCTGTACTACCCGGAAATCAGCTCATGTGAACTTGTTGGTGATGCTCTCCCAATTTTCACAAGCCCTTGGTTGTGCTTTTCGTCCGTCTCTTCCTCCTCTCCATCCCTCACTCTCTCTCTCTCGACACACACAGTCCACAAATCTATGCACACAAGCTCTGTACAGATAATCGGGTGGCACATTTGAGCGTACGTTCAAGGGCACTCTTGCCTCTGTGTGAGTGTGTGTGTGTGTGTGTGTGTGTGTGTGTGTGTGTGTGTGTGTGTGTGTGCGTGTGTGAGAGTATGTGTGTGTGTGCGTGTGTGTGTGTGTGTGTGCGCGTGAGTATGCGTGTGTGTGTGTGCGTGTGTGTGTGTAAGGATGCATGTGCGTGTCAGCTAATCTTTATCTGCATTTATGTTTGTAGCTGTGCATGCGTGTGCTGGTGCCTGCATGTGTATGTGTGCACATAATCTCTCTCTCTCTCTCTCTCTCTCTCTCTCTCTCTCTCTCTCTCTCTCTCTCTCTCTCTCTCTCTCTCT